GTTTCTTCTTCTTTTCTTTATTTCGTATTTTAACTTTGGAAATACAATAAAATTTGTAGAGGATCAAATTAGCAAATTAGGATCAACCGTGTAATTGTGGATATATCCCTAAAAGGGTAGAAGCTTCTACCCTTTTAGGGATATATCCACAATTACACCGGAAGAAACCCGAAATATTAACTACACACACACACACACACACACACACACACACACACACACACACATATATGTAAAGCAACTATTTCCATGAGTGTACTAATATGGGACAACTTGGAGGGAAGGAGTTTTAAATTAGATGCTTTAGATGGTCTATAAAATTTAAACAGAAAATAGGAAAAAGGAAAATGTTTTTTTTTAATACGTGAATATTTTCTTGGGATTTGACAAAAAGTAGGAGATAATTGTGTTGTGCTTATGTAACATTCAGAAGATAGTGTGGATTCTAAATGTTTGTCTGCCTCTTCACATGAGGCGAACGAGATGATTTTACCCACAATTGTCAGATCCATTTATAATAAGTGTCTATACTTCTTTGTGAAGCAAAATATATTCTAAATATTTAAAAGGATAAGATGCAGCTTTTGTCAATGCCCAATCTCCAAGAAGAACCAACTATGTTGGCTGATTTAGAAAACTCTCACACAGGTACAGCTATTTTGGGATTCTTTCTGGAAGCACATTACAGATAGCACAGTGGGTGCTTGGACTATACAAAATGTCACCCCCGACAAGCTTCAACTGCCTCTTGGAGAGATGTGTATTGTTCTGAAATGAACAAATAAAGAAAGCTTTTAAGAGATGCTAGGCTCTGAGAAAGATTTTGTGATGCTTCTCGGAAAAGCATCCTAGATGTTCTATAAAAATGGCTCAAGTTTCAAACAATTCTGCTTTAAGCAATGAATGCTTTTACTTAACAAAGGCAAATCCTTTGTGGTATGGTTAGCATCATGAATGACCCATAACTCATTTAATTGCTTCCCAAGAGTGAAGAACAGAAACACTACCCAGGCAAACAGTTTCTTTTCTCTTAAGCAGCCGAACTGGTCAAGAATGCTACATCTTTTGCATTTGTATGGCAGATCAAGTGAATTAACAATGAAAGAAGCAGCCAATGGCTTCTTTTATTAATGTGGAACAAAAGCTTAAAAATAGTTGCCAAGCAGATCAGGTATTTAAAAGAGAGAGAGAAAGAGAAAGAGAAAGAGAAAGAGAAAGAGAAAGAGAGAGAGAGAGAGAGAGAGAGAGAGAGAGAGAGAGAGAGAGAGAGATACACACACATACAGAGAGAGAGACAGAGAGATATGTGAATTCAAATCCTATATTGATCATCAGCCAGGCTTAGAAAATGAACATGATCCTTCTGCGAGGGTGATGGGCAGTTTCAAAATTTGACCAAAATATCAATCAATCAACATATTTCTAGATTGCCTAATCTTCTCCCTCTTTTATAAAAGATTTTTAATTTTTAAATATCTTTTAGTATTTTATATATTCAATTTTAAAATTGGTTTTAAATAGTTTGGGGTTTTAATTTGTCTGGGCCAAAATTATTTAATTTGATTTTAATTCTACTTTTAAATTTTGTATGTATGTGTTTTACTGTTTGGCTGTGCACCGCCCTGAGTCCTTCGGGAGTAGGGCGGTATAGAAATCAAATCAAATAAAAATAAATAAATAAATAGAAGATACAGGAAAGCCTGATAGTTGATGTGTTGATGCTAAAAGAAGCTGGCATCAAATTGAACTTGACACATTTAGAAGAAGCCGGTAATTCCAAAGGTGATCTAAAACAGGGGTCTCCAACCTTGGCTTCCTCAGGCTGAGGAACTCTGGGAGTTGAAGTCCACAAGTCTTAAAGTTGCCAAGGTTGGAGACCCCTAATCTAAAACATTGTCAGAGCACAGAGAGAAATTCAATAGTGCTCCCTATTCCTCCATTGCAGTTCTCACATGGTGGCTATACTGTAAGTCAAGGATGAATTAAGTCAGGAAGGCCATCCCAGAATCCACGTGGGCCAATTTGGAGATGATGTTTTTTTAAGGGAGAAAATGAGTCTTCAGACCTTAAAATACCGTTCTGCAAGCCTTAACGGTATCCATTTTGTCCCTTAAACCATCCTGATGTCCACAAATATGCAAAAAAATGGGCCCATTGTTTTACCCAACTCATTTGGGGAGGGGTCTTGGAGAGACCAAAAAATAATGTAGGCTTGTATGTGGCTGCCAAGAAATACTTTTTGCACCTGTTATAGATCACAGGAGAATCAAATATGGATCCAAGAACTCTCACTCTCTGGCCACCACTGTCCTGTTGATGAAGCTATGCAGGTACTTACATCCATCTGTTTAGTGACCATTCGAAGTTACAAAGCACTTAACTTATAGTGACTTATGACCGCTTTTCATTGATGCAGCATCCCCATGGTCATGTGATCAAAATTCAGATGCTTGGCAACTGGCTCATATTTATGACAGTTGCAGTATCCTAGGGTCATGGGATCACCTTCTATGACCTTCTGGACAAGCACAGTTAATGGGGGAGCCACTCAACAACCATGTTACTGACATAGCAAGAATTGCAGTGATTCACTTAACAACTGCAACAAGAAAGGTGGTAAAATGAGGCAAAACTCAGTTAACTGTCTCACTTAGCAACAGAAATTTTGGACTCAATTGTAATCATAAATCGAGGACTAGCTGTACCGTACCCATTATCCCCTTTCTGCTTGCTGCTTAGAGTCCTAAGAGCTAAAATAAAAGGTAGCAAGAATAGCTGTGGCTGACCTTAGTAACCTAACAAAGGAAGGAAAACCAGCAAGGGTACGTGTTTTCCTCCAGTTCAGGGGTGTCAAACTCAAGGCCTGGGGGCTGGATCCAGCCTGCGGCATGCTTAGATCTGGCCCACAGGACCACCCTGGAAACAGTGGCCCACTCTGCCTCTGCCAGTGAAAACAGAGCTTGGGAGGGGCCCTCCCAATCCGTTTTTGCTGGCAGAGGGTTGCAGGAGGCCCTCACAACCTAAAATGGAGCTTGCGTGGGCCGCGGGTGGCACTCCCAACCAGTGGGGGGTTTCAAATTTTTTTATTACCGGTTCTGTGGGTGTGGCTTGGTGGGTGTGGCATGTCTTGGTGGGCGTGGCAGGGGAGGGATGCTGTAAAATTCCCACTCCCACCCCACTTCAGAGAAGGATACTGTAAAATCTACATTCCCTCCCGATCAGCTGGGATTTGGGAGGCAGAGAATAGATGGGGGCGGAATTTTTACTACCGGTTCTCTGAACTACTCAAAATTTCCGCTACCGGTTCTCCAGAACTGGTCAGAACCTGCTGAAATCCACCTCTGCTCCCAACTCCATTTTCACTGGCAGAGGGTTGCAGGAGGTCATCACAAGCAAAAATGGAGCTCGGGAGCCTGTTTTCGCTGGCAGAGTGCTCGGGCCACCACAGGTGCCCCTGACATGAGTGATGTCGAGGGCCATGCCCCTCTGGACATGTCCCCGCCCCTGCCAAGGTCAAACACAACCCTGATGTGGCCCTCAATGATATCGAGTTTGACACCCTTGCTCTAGTTGATATATCTTTGACCCTCCCTGAGAACCTGGCAGGAAAAATTGCAAAGAACCAGTGGTGAAATTCAATTTTTTTTATTACTGGTTCTGAGGGCATGTCTTGGTGGACGTGGTGTGATGTGGCTTGGTGGGCGTGGCAGGGGAAGGATACTGCAAAATCTCCATTCCCACCCCACTCTGAGGCTTGCCAGAGGTGGTATTTGCCGGTTATCCGAACTACTCAAAATTTCCACTACTGGTTCTCCAGAACCTGTCAGAACCTGCTGGATTTCACCCCTGCAAAGAATGATGCTTGCTTTCACCCTGGTGTAATTTTTTTCTGCAAAACTATAACTTTCACAGTACCCAAGAGCCAATGGTGTCAACTACCAACATTTGGCGCCTTGAAAAAAAAGTTTCATTGGTTGTTGAACACGGTGGCTTCTTACTTGTAACCATTAATCATGTACGCCTTGTGCAGTCTTGGCAGAGTCGACCATAAGTATAAATGGTATAAATCTGCATTTTACTTGCATAGCTTCATTAATCACAGTTCATTTAACGTCATTAAATTAGATAGCCAGGAAATGCTTTTCCCTCAAGTGCATTGCCATTTTTGTAATAAGATGGTTTGTAGAGAAAAAACAAAAGGGATATTGTAAATGAAAGACGATGGGAAGTTGATTTTTTGAGAATTACTACTTCAAAAAAAAAGGAAGAACCTCCCCAATACTCTTGCAACCGCAAAAATGTACAGACAATTTAAAAAATAATAATAATAAAAAGGGGCACTTATTTCCTCCATCTTAAAAAGCAAATATAAATGCTGCACTATAGCCTAGATTTAAATGGAAATGCTTTGAAATGGAACACGTGGCTTTTATAGAGCTAAATAGAGCTCTCCCATGGAACCGAGAACAGGCAGGGAAAGCTTTTATTCAGGTTTACAAAGTATTTAATGGACCGGAAAATTTAGCACTAGATAAGAAAGTTGAAATCAAAAGAACATCTTAACAAGGCTTGTTTTCAGTTTAGATGTAGAGTTTGTAAGGTGGAACAAGACTATTAAATTGATGTTTTTGCTTGATAGCAGTATTCAGGGAGGGCTGTTGCTAGGGGAAAAAACGGTTCAGATCAGTATTTCTCAACTTTACCAATTTTAAAATGTGTGTGGACTTCAACTCCTAGAATTCCCCAGCCGGCTGCAATATTCCTTGCATGCTACTGCCTTGTCCCCTGAAGGATAAAATCTTCTGCCAATAAAGTTTCTAACTTCAAATATGTGTTCTTTACCCACAGAAGCTGGCCAAAGTTAGATTTGGCTTTATAGCCAAATAAAATGGCTATATCCTTGTAAAATGGCTACCTCATTTATTTTTCTATGTTCAACTTGTCTCTGAATTGCTTGTCCTTTTTTTTTCTCTTTTATATCTCTATGTATGATTATCCAGAATTAATGGTGAAATCCTCCGAGGTCTGCCACCAGTTCTCTGCATGCATGCATACACGGCACGCACTTTGTGTGCATGCGCACCGCAGGCGCTACCGCACATCATGGAAAAAGGAAGCTTAAGAAGGTGAGTATCCTTATGATTTATATTGATATTGTTTCCTGGTTGCTTATTTGTAGCCTATGACTATCATTAAGTGTTGTACCTTATGATTCTTGATGAACATATCTTTTCTTTTATGTACACTGAGAGCTATGCACCAAAGACAAATTCCTTGTGTGTCCAATCACACTTGGCCAATAAAAATTCTATTCTATTCTATTCTATTCTATTCTATTCTGTTCTGTTCTGTTCTGTTCTTCTGTTCTGTTCTGTTCTGTTCTGTTCTGTTCTATTCTATTCTGTATAACAGCGAGGGGGGGAACAGCTGTGCCGCGTGATTTAGATTATAGATATTTCTAGCGAATATAAATCGTGCGGCACAGCTGATCGTCGGAAATACCGGTAGCATTTTTTACGACCGGTTCACCTGAACGGTGCGAACCGGTAGCATTTCACTGCTGCTCAGAATAGGACAGAAAACATAGAACACGGAATCATAGGGTTGGAAGGGACCTTGGAGGTCTTCTAGTCCAACCCCGTGTTGAAGGCATTGGACCTTATATTATCCCGGTCAAATGGTTGTTCAATCTATTTTTGAAAACCTCCAGTGATGGCGCACCCACAACTCCGGGAGTCAAGTTGTTCCATTGATTAATCATCCTCACTGTCAGAAAATGTCTCCTTACTTTTAGGTTAGATTTCTCTTTAACAAGCTTCTACCCATTACTTCTTGTCTTGCCCTCAGGTGTTTTGGAGAGTAAGTCAATCTCTCTTTTCTGTGACAGCCCTTCAACTGGAAAAGTTAAAATAAAACAATGGATTTAGCAAAGTCCGTGGCTAAGCAAATCTGCAGAAGAGATCTTGGGCTGCATATTGCTATTTTCCTGGGAGAAGGATAAGATAAAGGCAGACTTTTTTTATGCAGACATTTTTATGTGGCTTCTCATGGACATAAGAACGAATGCTGTATTCGTCTTCTGAGGCCACTGCTTTTATAAGCAGCAGATTCCCAGACATCCTAGGCTCACTTTCTCCAAAGTATCAAAAGATGTCAAAAATCTTGTCAATGATGAACTAAAAGGTTGACTCAGCCTTCCATCCTTTCTAAGGTAGGTAAATTGAGGACCCAGTTTGTGGGGGCAATAAGCTGACTTTGTATAAATATACAAAAGGATGAAGGCTATTGCTTAACGCATTGTAAGCCGCCCTGAGTCTCCGGAGAAGGGCGGCATATAAATCAAATAAAAATAAAATAAAATAAATAAATAAATAAAAGAAATGATTAAATGTACTTTATTGCACATAAAGGGGCACATTCTCACGCAATGCACAATTATTGCACCATAATTAAGCAAAGTCACCTAACTGCTGGTCCTACTGAGCAAACTCAGATGGATTTAAGATGGCAGGATTGGTATCTAGCTATCCCTTCAGTTACCAACATTCATCAACAAAGGAAAATTCTTAGGGGAAAAAAGAAAATTCTGAACAAGGAATAGCAGGAGGAGTGATTCAGATTTATTTATTTATTTATTATTATTTATTACTCATATTTCTATGCCGCCTACTCTCCGAGGACCCTGGGCGGCTTACATCAAAGACAGTATACTAAATAGCATATTGTCCCCTAACAATCTGGGTCCTCATTTTACCCACCTCGGAAGGATGGAAGGCTGAGTCAACCTTTTGAGCTGGTGAGATTTGATCCGCTGATCTGCTGAACTAGCAGACTAGCAGTTAGACTAGTTTTGGTCACCACATTACAAAAATATATTGAAACTTTTGTTGGAAAAGGTGCAAAGAAGAGCAACTACGATGATTAAGGGCCCGGAGACAAAAACATATGAAGAACGGTTGCAGGAATTGGGTAGGGAAAAAAGGCATTGGGGGGGGGAACGGGGGGGAGGGGACGATGACACACACACACACGACAGCAGTGTTCCAGTATTTGAGAGGCTGTCATGAAGATGAGGGGGTCAACCTATTTTCCAAAGCACCAGAAGCCAAGACAATAAACAATGTATGGAAACTAATCAAGGAGAAAAGCTACCTGGAACTAAGGAGAAACTTCCTAACAATGAGGACAATTAACCAATGGCACAGCTTGCCTTCAGAAGTTGTAAATGCTTAATCCCTGAAGGTTTTTAAGAAAAGACTGGATAGCCATCTATCTGAAATGGTATAAGGTCTCCTGCTTGAGCAGGGGGTTGGACTAGAAGACCTCTAAGGTCCCTTCCAGCTCTGAGCATGAACAACTTCCCATGTAGGGCTGGCTAAAGCCTATGGCTGAGCTGCGTAGGAAACAATAGTTTTCTTAATAGCTCAGTGATCCTTACCCTGCAAATTTACCTGATGTTCTTAAATATAAATGTATATATAAAAGTAATTGTTGTCAATGCTGTTATAGCAACGTTTCCCAACGGTAGGGCAACTTTGCGCTCTAATTTTAAAGTTGATTTATGAAAGTTAATAACCTCCAGCTTCTAGATAAATATACAATGATGCTCTAAAGCCATCCGCTAGCTATTAAACACATTTCCAAGTTTAATAATGCTTAGAACATGTTCATTAAAGCAGCTTCATTAAAGTCAAGAGAGCTGATTTTTCTCCTGTACACAATTTTCCCCTGCTAAAGAAGACTGTTAAATTAACCAGAACAGCATATTCTGAATTTTGTACTAGTAAACAAATCTGGGATTTTATTTGTAGCAGAATTACATGTGAAACATGCTGAAAAGACACTCTTGTATCTGATAGAATCTGTGGTTAGGAACTAGTAGTAGAAAAAGTCACGGTCATTTTAAAAGAGAATGAATTTTAACTTAGTTTGGAGATGATCCTCTCTTTTTATAAGCAATGCTTGAAAGTAGGAACAAATGAATGGGGGCATGACTACACAGCTGAAACTGTTTTAATATATTCCATTTCCAATAGCAGTAATACTAACTCAGATTAGTTACCGTTGTAGCCCACCCTTCTTCTGCAAAGCACCATGCACAATTTCTCCACAATCCTTTTCTCACAATAAAACTGCGAAACAGACCAAAAAGACAGCAAGTAGTTCAAAATCATCCAATTTAGTAGGTGGGTAAGTAGATTTTGGCAACACAACTCCCCACAACACGTACCCGAAGCATGCAAAATCTGCTTTTAATTTGGTTGTGATGGGGATATGGAAAAGGATCCAATCCATTGCCGGAGCCTGTTGTATTTCCATCTTTGTGGGCCAAATGATGTCACCGGGGTGGAAGCAAACAGCAAGCCCCACCCCACACAAAATTGTCTGTTGTCTTCAATAATTCCGTTTGCTTTTACCATCTTCAATTGGTATTTAATCCCTATGTAGGATTATTTTGCATTCCATTCTCTGCCAAACCACTACTCAGCTGTGTAAATCCTAAATCGGGTCTAAAAATGGTATTCTTTTATAAACGTGGGTGCCAAAAGTGGAATCCACAACACAGACAGCATTAAAATTTGGGAAAAGTCAACCAAGGTGATTGTGTGGCAAATCAAGGAACATCAGATACATTTGAAATCTGCAAATGCTAAGCTGAGCATTTGGCCAGCTCTGGAGCAAAGAGATAAGGAGAATAAGGTTGCTGGCTGACTTGGAAGAAGACAGCTAGAATAAATTTCTTCTTTGCTTGACCACTTAAGACAGAATTGCTGGTCTGGTCAGTGTCACAAAAATATAGCAATGGTATATTCTACATTCCACATTCCCAAAGAGAAAACACACAAGATATTTTGCATGGCTGCCATGAATCATGAAAGTTCGCAACAGAACTGAAACTGTGCACCATAGTAATATACTATGATAAAAAGGGAATAATTTACAAGTCAGCTAAGTATATTTTGCTTCAAGATGAAAAGCTAAGGGAAAAGGCTATTCCTGCACTTTAGGGCCATGATCTCTCTAGAACCTCTAAGAATTACAATCATTTGTATGAAGTAGCAGTTTAGGAATTGAATAAATTAGATATTGCATGAGGCCATAGCACAAATCTTTAAATTATTCCTAATGTGAGAACCTGATTTAATTTTCCCCAAGGGACACAGAAAGACATTTGTCTTTTCCTCTGAAAAACTTTTCAGACGTTTCAGAGAAGATCAAGAGTGTCCAAAATGAAAAGAAATGGAATTTGTTAAAACCATCAGAATCAAAGAAGGCTCCATGTTTTCTAGGATTCTTAAAATTCTGGGGTTTTTGAAATAAAATAAAACAGTTGACACATTTGGATAAATATGGTAACAGGCAAAACCAGGGCAAATTTTCACTAGCTGCAATGTAAAGATAAAATAAATGATCATTATTTTTTTAAAAAAAATCAATAGTATAAATGTATACTTATTTTATGTATGTATGTATGTATGTATGTATGTATGTATGTACGTATGTATGTATTTATTTATTTAGGCTTATATGCCGCCCTATCTCCAACAAAAACCCGTAAAAAACCCCATCAGTCCAGGCCGAGGGACTCGAATAATCAAGTTTTTAATTCGCGGTGAAAGGTGCGAAGGTCAGGGGTAGTATTAAGTCTAGTAATAGATAAGTACATACCGTGTTTCCCCAAAAATAAGACCCTGTCTTATATTTTTTGAATCCTGAAATAAGCGCTTGGCCTTATTGCCATGCGCTCAAAAGCCCGATTGGGCTTATTATCAGGGGATGCCTTACTTTGGGGGAAACAGGGTAGAAACTGTTCACAATGAAATATGAAATAATTCTCAAGGCTAAATATGAAATAATTCTCAAGGCTAAATTGCCTGCAATGATCCATGAATGAATTATTATCCCCTGGTTAAAATTCTGTTCTCTTATTTGAGAGGGTTAGCAACGTGAAGTAGATAAAAAGCCTTTTCAAAAGGAAACCTTGGCCAGACAGATAGGACAGATAGGACAGATGCATTCTGAATGCTTCCTCATTAAGATTTCCCAATCTGAAGTCCTTATTAAAATTTAAAATAATAGAGTTAATACATGTTTGAAATCACAATTCAGTACAGGAAGGGTGTCTGCAAAATATAACCCCATATGCCAAGATGGCAGCTGCGATGGAATAATCAAACAGCACAAATAAAGAAGCCAGGGGAAATTCAATCGCACCAACGTGGCTGCCATCTTGACTTTTGGACCTTCCCATGAAGACACACCCCTGCAATGCAGACCATTGAAACGTTCAGGCATTGCCCCTGACCACGTTTCCTTTCCCAATGAAAGAAAATGTATTTTTCCGCACACAGAGAGAACACGTTGGAATAAAATCTCCAATGGATCCATCATTCAGGTACCAGAATCACACTGCACGCGTGGCTAGGAGGAAGCGACTGTTTAAATCTCTCCGTTTGCCCTCCTTCTTTGGAACCAAGGTGAAAAGAAGAGTGCTATATTCGGTCGTACCTGGGCTTGTGAGTGCACCAAGGGCCCCTGATGCTGTGGAGAGTGGATTCGCATTGGCGGTGTTGGCTGAGGACTGGGCCGCGGCGGCTGCAGCTGCTAAGGTTGCCAAATTTTGTAGCTGTAAAGCATTCATGCCTGCAGAGAAAACAGAGAGCTAGTGAAGCGAATACCAAACCCAAATGATTTGTTTTAACTCCACCAACCCAGTGTGAAATTTCCATCCAGGGGTGGGCTGCTGGGGGTTCAGAGGGGTTCCGGAGAACTTCTAGCTAAGATTCTATGCAGTTCGGAGAACCCCCAAAACCCACTCCTGGCTAGCCCCGCCTCCCCTCCCCTCCTAGGAGTCCCCATGTGGCCCGTTTTGGGTGCTGGTAAGTGCAAGGTGTGCACGGAGACTCAGGGAGGGCAAAAAATGGGCCTACCGGAAGTTCGGGAAGGTCGGAAATAGGCCCATTTCCAGCCTCCAGAGGGCCTCTGGAGCCTGGGGAGGGCAAAAATGCTCCCCCCACCATGGTGCAGGAGGCCGACTAGGCCACGCCCACCCAGTAACCGGGAAGAGAACCCCTTGCTAAAATGTTTGAAGCCCACCCCTGCTTCCATCATACAGGTAGTCCTCCACTTACAACAGTTCGTTTAGTGAACATTCAAAGTTCCAACAGCACTGAAGAAAGTGAAGCATCCCCGTGATCATGTGATCAAAATTCAGATGCTTGGTAACTGGTTCGTACTTATGACCGTCGCTGTGCCCCAAGGTCATGTAATAGGAATACCAATAGCCCTTAGGCTTATATACCTCTTCATAGTGCTTTTACAAAAACTCTCTAAGCAGTTTTACAGAGTCAGCATATGGCCCTGAACAATCTGGGTCCTCATTTTAACGACCTCGGAAGGATGGAAGGCTGAGTCAACCTTGAGCTGGTGAGGCTTGAACTGCTGGCAATCATCAGAATTCACCTGCAATACTGCATTCCAGCCACTGCACCAAAATGGCGCCACCACAGTGATCATCTTTTGCAACCTTCTCACAAGCAAAGTCAATGGGGAAACCAGATTCATTTAACCAGGTTACTAACTTATGAACGGCAGCGATTCACTTCACAACTGTGGCAAGGAAGTTCGTAAAATGGGGCAAAACTCACTTAACAAATGTCTCACTTAACAACAGAAAGTTTGGGCTCCATTGTGACCGTAAATTGAGGGCTACCTGTATCCTTTTAGCTTGTCTTTTACGTTTGGTCTTCCTCTTTTACTTTTAAACTGCTCGTTAACTATTTCGTTCTGCAGTGGTCTTTCACCAAAATAAAGTCTGACTTGACTTGGGATTTGCAAAGATTGTAATTTCCTAGTTTTCTTGATTTTTCATTTTAGAAAGGAACCTGTTCTGACGGAGGAGATGACAGGGACTCAGCACGAGCCCACATTGAATGCGAAGCCTGAATTGCGCCAAGAGGCCACAATAAAAAATGCAGGAGAAATGATCTTGGGATAGCTCTGAGTTGTTTATCAAAACGTATGTCAAAGACGAGCAGCAGAAAAGAGCCATTGCTTCCTCTTCCTTGCAATTTTTTTTTAGAAAGCATCACAAGAATATGTTGTTATCTAACAACGATGCTTCTACTTCAAAAGGGAGAAGAGCCTGGTGGTGCAGCAGACTAAAGCACTGTTATTAACATCAGCTGCCTGCAATTACTGCAAGTTCAAATCTCACCAGGCTCAAGGTTGACTCAGCCTTCCATCCTTTCTAAGGTAGGTAAAATGAGGACCCAGTTTGTGGGGGCAATAAGCTGACTTTGTATGAATATACAAAAGTATGAAGGCTATTGCTTAACGCATTGTAAGCCGCCCTGAGTCTCCGGAGAAGGGCGGCATATAAATCAAACCATATATATATATATATATAAATAAATAAAAAAGAGAAGAGGCTGCCTCACTGCCTAACAATCCATCAGTCTGGTTTCACCAAGGGATAATTTGCTGTAAAGTCAAATCCACTGTGGCTCAGAATTAGGAGAAATCATCTTAGTCATATGTTTGAAACAATTTCCATTCCAGTAAAGATGCTCACTGAACATTTACTCAGAGCTCTGAAGGTACTTTAACCACGGGAAAATTTAATGAATACATGCAAACTTCCTGCACGATCCCTAGAACACCAAGATTTCAGATTGTGCAGGAAGCTTCAGTAACAGGAAAAATTAGGTGCACATGTCAAACAACCGATGCAAAAGGCATAAAAAGATTCCTCATATTTTTCGCTCTTTAGGAAACTCGGTGTATGTAATAATTTTCTGGTGATGGATTTCAGAATAAATAAGGGGCAGGATCTTTCTCAAGGCCTCTACCTGCTAGTAGAAATTTCCTGCCTGAGTACCGGGTTGGACTAGAAGACCTCCAAAGTCCCCTCCAACTAAACCTATTCTATTCTATTCTATTCTATTCTATTCTATTCTATTCTATTCTATTCTATTCTATTCTATTCTATTCTATTCTATCCTATCCTATCCTATCCTATCCTATCTTACCTGCCAAATAGGTACCAAAACAAATCTTTCTGAAAAAAACCCAGCCAAGATTCAAAACAAAGAGGAAAGAGCCAACAACTTCTCATTGTTCTTTGTCAGTTCATATACCTCCATATAATTGCACGAGGTTTATATTTAACAGACCATACTGTGCAACAAGGCACTTAGTGCAGATAAGCTCTGCTTTCCTTTCCTTTCGCGCCATGGATAAATCAGAGGAGCTCTTTTGAACCCGCTGCCAACTTTGTCCAAAACACGCTCATTTCAAAGTGTTAACGGCTGACATAATGGGATGGAACTGTATAATCACGGGGATATTCATGCATTGGCTCTGTTTCATCATCTGAACTTTTTGTCAGCTAAATATCCAGCCAGGATGTGTTCTTATGCTCAGCTACCAGAGAAGCTGCCTTTATTAAGCTACTTTTATTAAAACCATCGGATCTTGATGATGACAGGAATGACTGCTTAACCTGACTCTGCCTTTCCCTTGAAGGAAAGGAAGAATTCAACAACAGGTTAGCAAGACCCAAATCAGATGCACGAGACAACACACCTGAAATGGAGGATGAGTGGATAGAGGTGTGAATGGAAATCATTATCTTATACACAGGTAGGTCTCGACTTACAACAGTTTGTTTGTTTAGCGACCGCTCGAAGTTACAACGGCACTGAAAAAAGTGACAGGGCCGTTTTCCACACTTATGACTAGTGGAGCATTCCCATGGTCACATAAATTTAGACGCTTGGCAACGGACTCATATTTATGACCGCTGCAGTGTCCCCGGGATCATGTGATCCGCTTTTGCGACTTTCTGACAAGTCAAGTCAATAGGGAAGCCGGGTTCACTTAACAACCGTGTTACTAAGTTAACAACTGCAGTAATTCACTTAACAACTGTGGGAAGAAAAGTGGTAAAATGGGATAAAAAACTCACTTAACAACTGTCTCTCACCTAGTAAGAGAAATTTTGGGCTCGATTGTGGTACCTATAATTTCCAAGATAAGGTTGCACATCCTATTGTTCTGCATCTGATTGCTCTTCATTTTTCAAGCTTCTTGAGAATTGATTATCATCCAAAATGTATTGTTTTCAAACAGAAGTAAGAGGCCTTTTCTTTTGCTATTGTGGTTTCCCCTACATTCCACAGTAAAATGAAATGAAAAATAATCTGATAATCTTCTGCTGAAACCACTGAATATTCTACAAACACAGTACTTTTGGAAGAAATGTTAATTATTTATATTGGGAGGGAGGGGGAGAAGGAAGAGAGGTTCCCTTTGGAGAAATAAGCCTCTAGATATGCTTCTTAGTTTTTATGCTGGAGAAAAAAATGCTGAGAATAAACATGGAATTTAATTGATTTCAATAATATAAACTGCTCGGCTATCAAAATAGGGTAATATTTTGTACCGCAAGAATTGCAACTTAGATTTTCATTGCTTGGCAGATTAAAAATACAATTAAATTATGCTTATAATGGATGTACAATATGTCTGCTTAAAATGTAAGATTTTTATAAAATGTATTTATAAGGAGAGGGGCTATGAAAATTTAATTTAATGTTCACCTTAGGTAATTTGGTGTGTTATTGTTCACAGCAATTACCATAAATCTACATATCAATAAGGAAGAACAGATGTCAGTTGTTATATCCACTTGCCAATCAGGCTTGTTAAAAATCGGCAGATGGATGCTTGTAGAATTCTCTCATATGGCCTATTAGCACATTTGCAGGAAACTGGTGTAGTACCCTTGCAGTGACACATGCAGTCCTGTTAAAACACAAATAAATTGGAGACCTGAGGTTTCCATATCTCACAACTCAGGGTGTGAAGCTTGCAGGGTAAACTTTCACACACAGGAAGAGGGGACTGACCAGTCCTCAACTAAAGGAAGATTTTCTCATTACTGTTGATGTCAGCTTGGAAAAACAAAAAGAAATGAAAAAAATGCATTTCATTATTTTTTCAAGAGAGGGGTACCAAACTGCCAATATTGCTTTAATTTTTGAAGAAGCCCATTTTGCGATTTAGGTTTTCTCTTATCAGAGGCATTTACAAAAAAAAAGAAAAAAAGAAAACATGTTTGCTTGCTTATTTATGACAGTCCTGACCCACTCCAGCCCCACAAATTCCAGGAAAAATGTATAAATGATAAGCTTTAAAATCCCATTAAGAACCCATTCTTAAGATTTACACTGAACATTAAATGGTTTGAAATAATTTTTATTGGTAATTTGACAAGAACCCCATAAAATTGCTAGATATAAGTATCTTTTTAATTAAGGCTGAAGGTATGAGAAGGTTGGATACATAAGGCCTTGTAAACTTTTGAGGGGATGCTTCAAAGCCTACCTGGCACCATTCCTATTACAGGTTCAATCGGTAGAAGGAAAGTTTCCTTTGAAAGACCCTTTCCCTCCAAAGTTTATGCAGACACAAAGCAGCTAATTCACCTCCTAAAATATAGGGATAAAAGGAAGACTTTCTGCAGTACCCTAGAGCAGGGGTCTCCCTAGAGGGCATAACTCATCTAGTCTTAAAGACTTAAATTCATTAAATGTAGCAAGATGTTCCTTGATCACCTTTCTATCAATCTTAAGCTCCAATTCTGCCCTTCAGTTTTGCCGTTCACAGTTAAAATAAACTAATTAACCTGAGCTATTTTATGTGTGTATGCCTATACGTGTCTCTGTACTTGTATAGATACATATACATGTATATATGTGTGTAAAACACTTCGTTTAGTGACCAGCTGAAGTTACAACGGCACTGAAAAAAGTAACTTATGACATTTTTCACATTTGTGACCACTGCTGTATCCCCATGGTCACATGATCAAAATTCGGACGCTTGGCAAGTGACTCATATTCATGACCATTGGCAGTGTCCTTTGTGACCTTTGGACAAGCACAGTCAACGGAGAAGCCAGAACCGTATTACTAACAGCTGCAGCGATTAACTTCAGAATTGTGGCAAGAAAGGTAGTAAATTGGGGCAAAAATTCACTTGATAACTATCTCGCTTAGCAACAGAAACAGTGGGTTCAATTGTGGCCGTACATCGAGGACCATCTGTATATGAAAGAAAGAACACCAGAGAAGCCAAAAAAAAAATTAAAAAAATAAATAAATCAACATCTAAGTGTTTTATACTACAAAAGTTTACAGTTAGGCAGAGGTGACAAAGCTGAGAGATATTTCTAAATATCTTCCAGCCTACCAGCTCTCAAGGCTTCTGGTTGAAGAATGTGTGAAACTGCACGGGTCTCGAGTGCTATTAACAATCTGGGATTTGTCATTTGTAGAGTTGATCCATTTAGATTAATGGGGGAAAAAAATAGCTCAGGTTTATTTTACTCCCAGCTGGTTTCACTGATGCAATGACTAAGTCTGCATCCAATTTAATTTGAGGGAGCACTCATGACTTTGGGCTGTCTCAACCAATAGATCATAATTGCACAGACACAATACATCTCTAACTGTGCTATGCAGGAAAATCTCTCTGCCCTCACACAAACACACACACACACACACACACACACACACACACACACACACACACCTTTCTGGTCCTTGCATTTTTTATTTTGTAGGGTGAAGTCCAAGAAACACTACTGGGCTTCTTAACTCAAAGCTGGTTCCAGAAAACCATCACTGTGAAAATGTTGTTTATGACATTAAGATATATTTTTCATGAGAGGAGAATTAAAAAAAAAACCATGCCAGATTTTGAGCGGCACATAATAAGAGCGGCAAATACTTGCCAACAGATCTGCACCAGAAGAAATAACTCAGCGATATCGTCACCTGTGGGCCAATTTATATTGTCAGAAAGTGGATTCTGCATTACTCTCTGGAGCCAAATGCAGTAATGGCATATTCTAGGAATAAAACACCGACAGCCTATGGGGACACACTCATCTCTTTTTCATAGATGCTCTTCGAGATCCATTCAGAGGATTAATAATTATATTAATAATTAAGCATTAATAATAATATTAAAAAAAGGGGAAGATAAAAAAAAGGAAGAAAAGAATGAAGACGGCAAGATGACATATGGACAGAGCTGAAGAAGCCCTTTGGCGTGTGGCAAGACTGGATAAAAGCGCCACCAATTTGCTGACGTGGTCAGAGCTTAATTAAAAATAAATTCACATGCCAGTTTGATGACACGAACAGTGCAGGAGAGGTTGCTGCTTGGATGAGAAATAAAGAATATCAAGCAAGAGGGGAAAGCAACTAACAGCATCGCAGGACAGACGTAATGGTCGTGCTTAGAGTTGCTTTCTTTTTGCAAATCCTGTACAAGACAGGAAGAAGCCGGGCAGGGCAAAGAATAGAGCCTGGATAGCTCTGCAGACAAAGGCACTGTAATTTAACACCAGCTGTCTGCAATTAAAGTAAGTTCGAATCTTGCCAGGCTCAAGGTTGACTCAGCCTTCCATCCTTTCTAAGGAAGGTAAAATGAAGACCCAGATTGTGGGGGCAATAAGTTGACTTTGTATAAAATATACTAAAGTATGAAGGCTATTGCTTAACGCACTGTAAGCCTCCCTGAGTCTCCGGAGAAGGGCGGCATATAAATCAAATTAAAAAAAAAAGAAAAAAGAATGAGCTTTTATTAATAACGATAAATTGCTTAGTAAATTCACCCAGAGGCCATTCAGCTAACTGTCTTTTGGTAAGGGTAGGGGCAGAAAATTTAATACGGTAACCACAGCCATGCAGCTAAAAGCATGTCACGCAGTTCAGACATGTGTATGTCTGTCAAACACAGGATTGTGGCTGCCATCTTGACTTTCTTGACCTCCTTCAAGCCCAGGCTTTGGCCTTGCCTGAAGTATTCTTAGGACACTCATCTAGGATCCAGCTTCTATGTAACGAGATATGTCAGATCTGTAAATCAGAAAGGTATTCCTCCTCTTGGATGGTGACACCGTAAATTCTGAGATGTTTACCACTGGAAAATTGCAACAGAACTCTCAGATTTTGAGATGAAATCTCAAAAAGAAAAGGCGGAAAAAGATTGTGAGATGAAAGTAAACAAGAGGACCAGGGGTGAAATGTTCTGAAGTCTGCTACCGGTTCGCTTTGCTACCAGTTTGCTTTGCGTGTGTGTGCGCCAAATGCATGTGCACGTGTGGTGCATGCCAAATGCGCGCTTCGTGCACAGTGCTGAAAAAAGAGGATTAAGAAGTCTTTTCTGAGTCTGCAAAGTAAGTAGAACAGTGAGGGGAAGGGAACAGCTGTGCCGCACGATTTAGATTCACTGGAAAGCAGGATTTCCGGCTTTCTAGTGAATATAAATCGCGCGGCACAGCTGATCGTCTGAAATAGCAGTTCGCCTGAACCAGAAGCATTTTTTTTTTTACTACCGGTTCACCATGACCACGGAGACGTCTTCGGACAGCGCTGGCTCTTCAGCTTTGAAACAGAGATGAGCACCGCCCCCTAGAGTCGGGAACAACTAGCACATATGTGCGAGGGGAACCTTTACCTTCATCTATGATTTTATTCTAAAATAGGAACATGGAAACCAAAGTCAACCTATGTAGAACATAATCCAAGAAAGCCTTTGAATCTGACTCTGAACCAACGCAACATCCAAGATCTTTGCATTAGTGGTGGGATTCAAATTTTTTTACTACCAGTTCTGTGGGTGTGGCTTGGTGGGCATGGCATGGCTTGTTGGGCGTGGCAGGGGAAGGTTACTGCAAAATCCCCATTTCCTCCCAATCAGCTGGGACTCGGGAGGCAGAGAATAGATGGGGGCAGGACCAATCAGAGGTGGTATTTACTGGTTCTCCAAGCTACTCAAAATTTCTGCTACTGGTTCTCCAGAACTGGTCAGAACCTGCTGAAACCCACCTCTGTTTTGCATATACTCACCCCTTAAACTGTACACTTAGATGAAGGATCTTTTTGTATGGAAAAGGGCTAAAATTCAGCCACAGGAGGAAAAAGAAGGAAAGAGATAAATAAAGAGGCTTTAACTCACCGGCCATTTGTTGAATGCCACTGAAGGCACCCAAGTTACTGGAGGATGTTGCTTGCTGCAGAAGCTGCAAATTAACAGTAACAACATCAATGGGGTTAATAACGCAACAAGTTAAGATTAAAGCAAAATTATCTGAATCAAATTAAATTTGGGATACTTATAGTTTCCTTTACATTTATACAGTCTCTTGCTTCTGCCTGGTGTTGGAATGAAGGTCCCCAGAGCCGATGCTGTAAATCCATATTAATGTCTAATCTCTATTAAGAAACACACAGACACTGGGGAAACTCAATAACATTGCTGCTTTAAAACAATTAATCAATTTACTCTTTTTTTAACTGCCAGGTGCTAAATCTATTTCAGCCCAACATAGTGTGACTAATCATTGCCCTCTGCAGTCTAGCAGTTAGCATAACTCATCCTGGTTAATCACAAGAGTATTTTCCACCTCCCCCACTTAAAAAGAGAAGCTAGTTTCCTTAACATGGTTTGTAGGACTGGTCCTGAAAAACGCATAACTTCACAATGGGCTGTTCTTTTTCACAGAGTTGTGTTCACACAGGAAATCAAAAGTGATCTGCGTGTCAGTGCACTATTTTGATAATCCAACTGTATAGAATATTACCTAGGCACAACCGATTTGATTTTTAATGGAGGCAGTTGATATATTCAGTTGCCAATCAACATTGCTGAGATGCTGTATCAGGGGACAACCTTGGAACCCGTTCCTGATCATACACATAACTGAGTTCCCACATTGGCTAAGTCTTGGTTTGTTTAATCATGGTTTCCTGGATAACCCACATTTGGTTGGGATCACAACATAGTCTAGGTCATCAACCATCACTTAGAAATCACAATGGCTGGTTTCGCATAACATGTTAAAACGAGTCAAACCACATTTGAGCATATTGTAATGTGTGAATAAAGCTACAGAAAGACGGAACCATTTTTCATTGGATCAGTGATGATTCCAAGTGACATAGAATTTGTAATAACAGAGGTAGCCTCCTAGTGTAAGATTTCATTATGAATGAAAGGCTTAAATGTATATGAAAAAGTGTCAGTTATCAATGAATGGGGATTAGGGAGGAAGTAGGGTTAGGGTGAGCATTTTGGGAAAAGCTGTCCACTTTTCTGAATGAATGAGATGCAGGAGAGAATCTGCCAGGTGGTATGAATGGGATGAGGAAAAAAAGACAGATTAATCCCCCCAACAGAATTAAAGGAAAGGAAAGAGGAGGAGAATGTGGAATCTGCTCGGAACAGAATGAAATGAATTATGTTACAAAGGACTGAAGAAGTCTGTGGAGTTACACTAATGCAGTGGTTCTCAACCTGTGGGTCGGGACCCCTTTGGGGGTCGAACAACCCTTTCACAGGGGTCGCCTAAGACCATTCGGAAAACACATATTTTCAATGGTTTTAGGAATAATTTTATGGTTGGGGGTCACCACAACATGAAGAACTGTATTAAAGGGTCGCGGCATTAGGAAGGTTGAGAACCACTGCACTAATGAGAAGTATGAAAAAGGATGGTGGGTTTGATGATGAAGCGAGGGAGGTTGAGGATAAGAAAAAAGCAAATAAAAGGAAAACGGAGAGAAAGACATGGCATAATGTGTATAGAGAAGAAAAGAGCCACAGAACAGAACTGAAATTAATGTTATAAATCTCTGTGCCGAAGAGAAAAAATGATGACAAGGAAGTTGTAAATACTGGGAAAATGTTGAAAAATGTATGGCTAATAGAGGGTATAACTGGGCTTGATTTGTTATGGTGTGCCTATCTATTTGTGTAACTTGTATGTGAAGAGAGCATCTATCTCTGATAAACTGGACAACACCATTATTGTTGTCTTAGTCAAAGGAAAAGATAGTATCAGTGAATTTAAAAAATATAAGGTATCAGTTTGCTAAACATGGAAATGCATTTGGTGAATAGAGATGAACAAAACTTGGGAAATGCCTTTATGCTGGACAACAGATGTACTGTCCAGATTTTTGGATTTCAGCAGATCATTGAGCTTTCTTATAGTAGATTTAAAGAACACATATAAACTTGAGTTGTTGAATGGTGAACATTCATTGAATCTTCATGTTATGGAATTAATTGCTGACTATCAGAACTAATCATTTTGAATGATTCAACATCAAGCATGTAATAAGACCCGGATGTTTGACTTAGGGACTTAGTTATTAGTATAACAAATGTATATATGGAAAGCTTATGATGACATTAGATGTATTTTGGATGGGCATCAGAATGAGTGTGTATTACATACAAATGATGTATTAGAGGTGAAAAACCCAAATGATTGTAATGAATATTAAACTGTATGATGCACAGAGGATATGAATCTGTGTGTGTTGGCAGAATGATTGCTAAAGTTGGGGAGAAGGAAGGAAGGAAGGAAGGAAGGAAGGAAGGAAGGAAGGGAGGGAGGGAGGGAGGGAAGGAAGGAAACTTAAGACTTGCAAATGCTAGTAAAAATATAATAGGTAGTTGTGTGATTTGTGTGAAGAATGAAAGCTTGTTGCAAGCTTGGCAACTTTAAGACTTGTGGACTTCAAATCCCAGAATTCTCCAGCCAGCATGGGATAGTTGAAGACCATGAGTCTACCACTTCAATTCCCAGACTTCCTCACTCAGCATTCTGGGAGTTGAAGTCCACAAGTCTTAAAGTTGCCAAGGTTGGACACTCCGGATATTTTACATGGACGTGAGAATTAGGCATGTCAGATGAACCACAAAGTAAGATGAATTCTGTGGGAATGGGTTAGTTTAGAGGCACATGCAGTAAAACAGGAAGAGATGGGATCAAAGATGTCCGGGAAGAGACAAAAAAATGATGAGATTATTCAGTGATAGAGAGAGGATGACTGAGAATAAAATTGCAAATGAAATACATGGAGGACGAGTTTGAGGGTCTAAAGAAAGGCAAAGACAGGAAACCATGGTTGGGGGGAATGGAGGAGATCCTGAAAAAAGCAGAAAGGTATAGAATTTCAAGGACCAAAGCCAGGAGATGCCCATTGTGGATGTTCATGTAAAATAAATTTAGAGTTTCTTTTCTGTTCCCCTAACTTCTGCTTCCAGTTTCTTTTGCCTAAAGAAACTTGCATGTCCCACAGTGGAGATCAAAGCTTACCCTAAGCTTTGTAAAATGTCTTATTCTGACTGATGTCCCAATGAATACTGAAGGTCCTTTCTAATGTTGTTGTCCTGATCCTTCAAACCAAACTGTCATTCTAAATTGCATGGAAAACCTGGTCGCGACATAGCTAACTACCGCAATTTGATCAAAGCAGGCAGTTGCTTATGCAGCTTAATAGATGAGTGGAAAGGGGAAGAAAGAAGGTGCTGTAAAAATGCATTGGTTAACTGGAAACCTGAACCATCTCACCAAGGGAAAAAAAATCTTTTCAAATTGACATCCAATTATGAAATTTAAAATAGCTGTATTGAATGAAAGCCCACGATGCCACTCCTGTGTACTGATGCTGCATTCAGAAAATATAATTGTGGAGCTTGGCCCCCTTTATCTAAATGCACAGCAGGGAAAGGCGACAGAGGTGGGGGAAGTGACAAACAACATAATTCAGATCATTGAGAAATTTAGATAATTATTTTTTCCCCTCCTGTGTAGAAGACTGCCACGGAACATTTTCATATTCATTAATTCTGTATATTTATGAACAACCAATGTCAGTCACGATGCAATGGGTGTAGAATGACTTGGGATCTGAAGAACTTGAGATCTGGAGGGGTGCAGAAGACAATCAAGTCTTCAAACACAGATCGTGAAGTGCTCAGGTACACAGGGATGGGGGAATAACTTGAAGACAGAATTTGGGAATGCTTATTATTTGTCCCCGCGAGATTCCCCCGTGCACTGTTGCTTCTCTTTTTACCAAACTTGTTTATTTATTTATTTTGTCAAACATGTACGAGATAACAGATATAAGTATAAACATGGATATGAACACAGGGAATGGGTATAAATAAATGGGGACAGTAGGCACGTTAGTGCGCTTATGCACCTCCCTTACAGACCTCTTAGGACTGGGGTGGGGTCAACAATAGACAGTTTAAGGTTAAAGTTTTGGGGGTTTGGGGAACAAACTACAGAGTCAGGTAGTGAATTCCAGGCATTGACCACTCTGTTGCTGAAGTATTTTCTGCAATCGAGTTTGAAACGGTTTTCCTTGAGTTTGTATCTATTATGTGATCATGTATTGTTGAAGCTGAAGTAGTCATTGACAGGATGTTGTAGCAGATAATTTTGTGTACTACAAAAGCTTAGGTCAAACTTTAGGTGGCGTAGTTCTAGGTTGTCCAGGTCCAAAATTTCAAGCCTGGTGGCATAAGGGATTCTGTTGTGAGCAGAGGAGTGAAGGACTCTTCTCATGAAATATCTCTGGACTCGCTCAATTGTATTAATGTCCGATATACAGTGCGGATTCCAGGCAGATGAGCTGTATTCGAGAATTGGTCTAGCAAAAGTTTTGTATGCCCTAGTTTGCAGAACAATGTTACTGGAGAAGAAGCTTTGTAAGATTAGGTTAACAACTCTTAATGTATGACTTTGAAGTCAATATGATGGAAAACATATTTAAACCATCAGGAAACACTGACTTCTTTCTGTATCAGTATCTAGTGAGGACGTAAAGAAAACTTAACAGACAGGAATAATAGAAGGCCTCAAGGCCTCCTTCCCAACCTTCCCACTGAATTTAGATGACAGTTTCCATAATTTCCAGTAGGGAATTCTTGCAATTGTACTTCCAGCACGTTTTGTGAATACATAGTTGGTGTAAATTGGTTTAGCTATGGAGGTTCTCTCTCCTGGATCAAATCTTGAATATTTCTTTTTTCGCAGGGAAGTGGTACATTTGTATCTTTGCACATCAGGTGAATCATGTAAAGCTGTATGGTGTCTTATTTGTTCGGCGGTCACATGTTATGTGAAGGCATGAATTTAGTTAGACTCAGTTAATCTGAGTTTCAGAAGGCAGCCAGTCAGTCTTCAGTTGATCTGATTAAGTGTGTTGTATTTAGTGAATCTAACCATTGCATTTTGCAAGATGTGGTTTGCACATGTAAATGGGAAAAGATTTTTTAACAATGGCCTCGCCACCAGGCTGCCAAATGTAAACTGGCAAATGCTGCTTAGGATAATGTCATTCTGGCAAAACAGCTCTAATTATGTTGTTTAATACTTGCTTCTTACATTGTATTTGAAAAGCAAACATCTTTGTACAATATCATGGTGAACCAATTGTGGAAGAGATTTATTTATCTGCCAAAAACTGGGTTTTTTTCTACATACATGCTAAAGCAATGGTTGCCTTCACCTAATGCATTTAACTGATTCTTAAGTTGCCCGTTTTGTGGACTTGTGCAACAATCAGTCCTAAACTAACCAAATAATTTTACAATGTATTAAGTTGTGTACACATATACACACAAAGTAAGTAAAGAAATGAAGCTTAGCTTGTGTGAATGCAGCCAGTCAGTCTTCAGTTGACCTGGTTAAATGTGGACACAGCTAAAATATAATCCAAATAACCCTCTCCTAAAAATATACCAGGCACTGAATATCTCCATATGACAAAAAGCTTGCAAATTGATTTCTCATTCAATCTTTTTTACATTACCAAATCCAAAAACATTAAAATAGAAATTATATACTTGCTTTATCTAATGAAAAAAAGGTTCTGACATAACAGCCTAGATTAAGCTATAATGAGGTTAGACAGTTAGTGTCTTAGCATGTGCTAAAAATCCTGCCATATTGGGTGAATTAGGCTATCATATGAAGCCAGAATATAACTTATTTTTCTCAGCATATGGTATGTGAACACAAGGATTGTGTTGTATTAGTTAAAGCACTAAGAATAAAGTGTTGGCGTGAATACATTTTGGAAACAAAACAAAACAAAACAAAACAAAACAATTCTAATTTATTCCATAAAAAATGTTGCCTGTCTATCCAACATTCTTAAGCAAGTCAGTAATAACCCTAGAGGTTGCATTTATATGATGATTCGCACTTGCTTAGTGCTAATTGTTACGTGTTGTGTAAATGCAAACCACTATTTACCGTATTTATTCCTTGCATTCCTATCTTGCATTTTTGCTGACAACCCAAAGTTTGGTTGCTTGACATAGAAGTGTTGTCAACTTCGAACTGAACCTGGCGCTCCCATGTGACTCCTCTCCTGCGCGAGCTGCATTGGCTTCCGGTGGACTTCCGGGTGCGCTTCAAGGTGTTGGTGATCACCTTTAAAGCACTCCATGGCTTAGGGCCAGGGTACTTACGGGACCGCCTTCTGCCACCAATAGCCTCCCACCGGCCAGTTCGCTCCCACAGAGAGGGCCTCCTCAGGGTGCCGTCGGCCAGACAATGCCGGCTGGAGACCCCCAGGAGGAGAGCCTTCTCTGTGGTGGCACCTACCCTCTGGAACAATCTACCCCCAGAGATACGAGTGATCTCCGACCTCCGGACTTTTCGTCGGGCCCTAAAAACTTATTTTTTTCAGTTAGCCGGTCTGTCTTGATTTTAGGGTTAGTTTTAAAATTTTAATATTGATTTTAAATTGACAAGTTTTAAATTACGGGCCAAATTTATAAATTATTTTAACTCTATTTTTAACTGTAATGTTATGTATAGATGTTTTTATTTTTGGCTGTTCACCGCCCTGAGTCCGAAAGGAGAAGGGCGGTATAGAAATTTGAATAATAAATAATAAATAAAACCTGGCCGCAGCCAATTTTCTGTTCCTCAGTTGGCACATAGAGGGGGAAGGAGGTGGGAAGGAGGTTGGAATGAATTACTGGACACAACAAAGAGCTTTCTCCTGAGAACCAAGGTCATCTCTACTGGCAACCAATAAGATTGGGGAAGGAGTGCCTGAAGAGCCCGCCAATTAACCCAATTGGCCAACGTGACCTGTGATATTTGGGGATGGGGTTATTTCCTAGTTTAATTATACTGAAACCGGGGAAAAAAATTTAGACTTGGCTTTCCATTGAAGCTGTGCCGATATGATGTACTCATTAAAGAAGATCTTTAAGAAAGAGCCAAGTCTCCGAGTTCTGATTTGCTTGGGTTCGTTAGTCAGAGCCTTGACAAGTGTATTATGGGGTGGTGGGAAAGGGGGAGACCAAACAGACAGTGTGTGATGGTGGCATTTGTGTGATGTTCCTTTGGCATCAGGGCAGTTTCAGATGATGTCGAGCCAAAAAAGAGGAAGCATGTTGTGTGAACCCAGCCATTGTGAAGCAGCTATTTAGGGGAGAGGACACATTTGAAAAAGAAAAGTAGGATGATATGTGAGAATGTGTGAAGCGAACAGAGCTTCCACTGAATGCTTCCGGGTCAGGATTACAAAAATTAGAGAGAATTGATGGTTTCTTTATTGAACCCTTTAGTACAAATTGAACATGTCTACTTAGAAACAAATCCCATTAAAATCAATGGGCCTTATTTCTGGGTAATGAGAGATACAGACTGCAGCTCCAAATACAGGTAGTCCTCAAATTGCAACAGTTCATTTGGTGACTCTTGGGAGTTACAATGGCACTGAAAAAAGTGATTTATGGCCGTTTTTTACACTTACGACGGTAGCAGCACTCCAATGGCCACATGATCGAAATTTAGATGGCTGGCAATTGACTCATACTTATGACGGTTGCAGTGTCCTGGGGGGGGGTCATGTGATCTTCTGACAAGCAAAGTCAATGGGGAAGCTAGATTCACTTAACAACCGTGTTACTAATTTAACACCTGCAGTGAATCACTTTAACAAGAAAGATCATAAAAATGGGGCATAACTCACTTATCAAATGTCTCACTTAACAACGGAAATGTTGGGCTCCTTTGTGGTCATAAGATGAGGACTACCTGTATAGGCAAAGTACTGTTACTAACCCTGTTACTTAACTGAACAACTGCAGGGTTTCACTTAACCACGGTGGCAAGAAAGGTCATAACATGGGGCAAAACTCACTTCACAACTCCTTCACTTAGCAACAGAAACTTTGGGCTCAATTGTGGTCGTAAGTCGAGAACTACCTGTATTTGAATTTCAACCGTGTTCTTCCTAAAGGTGCTTTTTCAAAAGGCAAGTGGACTTCCTTTGTCCAGCTGTCTTTTGAAAAAGCATCTTTTGGGACAATCATGACCTGCTGATTGAGAATCTCCATAGTAAAGAACTGTATTCCTCATAATATACGTTTGACCTTGTTACTGAATTAACCCATTTTCTAATTTTGCATTAGATGTTGAATAAACCCACTGCTTTCACACAACAGCCTATTCCATGTAACAAGTAAGTGAGCCATTAACCAAGCTGAGCATGTTGTGTGAATGCAGTGTCTAAAATTTGAAATTGAGCTGGTTGGCGTAGACAACCTTTATCTGAAATGCAGAGATTCAACTTTCAGTGATAACATGTTCTTAAAGCGTCTTAAGCTATTAAGAGATAAATATACAGAATCCATTGCTAAGAAAAAGACAAAAATGTAGATTTCACATCACTGTCTAAAACGTTTCGAGTGGTGTAAAATGCTCAGAACTGCAGTTAAATATGCAAACATCTCTATCTGCATGCTTGCAGGGATATCCTCAGAATACAATCGTTCACCCAGAAACTTCATCTATTAAAATGTGACAGCATCAATTGGAGGAAATCTCATTGCAATCGCTATCTTAATCTCAGATATTCTTTCACACTCCTTGCAGGACAATTTGATGCAATGAATTTGTTTCCTCAACCCTTTCACAACAGAGATACTCCCTGCTTTATTTAAACCATGCCCACTTAACCCAGCATGGCAAGCTTGCTTTGAAAATATTGTAAACAAATGTGATGATTACTTACAGCCAGGTACTGTGGGGTAAATCCTCCAAGGCCTGTAAGGTTTCCCCATGTGGCAGTATTGAGCTGTTGCATTTGTTGTGCCAATTGCTGTTGTAAACGTCTTTGCTCTTTGTCCTTTTGGGTATCAGCAAACTTCACGACAATTGGTGAAGAACAGCCCTGTGGTTGGACAGATTGGTGGGGAAAAAGGTCTATCACACATTTCCAGCTAGGTGGCAGCACCTAGCCGACCTTGGCTGATCTCAGACCTGGTTAGTACTTAAAAGAGAGAAGGCCACGGGGGATTGACTAGCAGCGTTGACTTGCCTGAGAAGTCAGAAATACAAAAATATCTTGGGAGATCACTTCTGTGCTGTTGTCAGGAAAACTTCACGAATGCGTTGAGGTAGACATCAGGAGCTGAACTTGATTGGTGGGAGTATTTACTATGCAATTGAAGACACTATGGTTTAAATTTTGGGCCCCTTGTTTAATTTAGAAGGGAGCGTGATGGCACAGTGGTTAAAGATACTTAGCTCGTCAGCTTGAAAGCTGACAGTCTGGGTTTGAGACCCGAGCGCCGCGCAACGGGTGAGCTCCCGTTCCTTGCTGCAGCTCCTGTCCACCTAGCAGTTTGAAAGCATGTAAATGCGAGATTAATAGGTACCACTTTGGTGGGAAAATAACAGTGTTCTGTGCGCCTTTGGCATATAGCCATGCTAGCCACATGACCGCAGAAAATGTTTTTGGACAACACTGGCTCCCTCGGCCGAAAAACGGAGATAAGCACCGTGCCTTAGAGTCAGACACGACCGGACAGGGAAACCTTTACCTTTACCATTAAATTTAATTTTGTCTCTGTATCTTTTATTTGAATTGGAAAGAAAACTTCCATTCACAATCATTTTTAAGTATCAGGGGCTACGTGATGCTTTAGCCATCGTTGGCTGGTATGTGAGGTCAGATTGGTTAGCGCTAGATGGGATAAATTACTAAGCATCAAGTTCGACTCAGAGGAGATGTTACAATAATTCTGATACATCTGCATGAGTCTTTTTCACAGTTCTTTTTTTTCTTTAGATGGTCTATAATTTTGCAACTGATTATAGGACCCCACAACATGTGGATAGTCAAAAGATTTCAGAATCTCAGGGAGCATTGCAGAGGGGATCCCAAAAGTCAAAATGGTAGTTGTGTTTGTGGCTGCCACCTTGACATATTTGACCCCTAAGCTTCATCTGCTGCAAACATTCCTGGTTAGCATGATGTCTTAACACTCATTGCTTGGGAAATTCACCCCCTTCTCTCCACCCCAATATATTCCATACCATCCCTTCCTGCACATCCCAAAAATCTGCTCCAGAGATTGAGGGAACTTCCAAAGCAGATCAAAACATTGGATAGGATGGTATGTAAAGAGGCTCAAACTGTACGCCAATTTCAGAAATCTGTTTGGGTGACATTTTAGCTTACAAATGCATCCGTTAATTTGGCATTGGTCTCTCTTAATGGTTAATACTTTTTTGTTTTGGTCTTAGTTGTTTTGGCTTTGAGTAATGAGGAAGGAAGAAAGGATGGAAGAGAAAAAGGAAAGAAGGAAGATTTCTCCTTTTTTCCCCATATTTCTCCACATTTTCCAAGTCTGAATATTAATTAAATCTTTATGCTAATCAGATTTTTTTATTCTAATTAGACTTGTGAAGCAGGAATGTCCTGATTCGTTACAGTTCGAAAAAGAAATTAAAAGTCAAAACTTGGTTTATCAACATGTCTTCTTTCTAACCTGACTATGATCTAACTAAGCAGAGTTACTTCCAGGCCAGATTTAATAGAAAGCTCTAATCTAGAGAGTTAGGTGTTACCCTGTTTCCCCCTCAAAATAAGACATCCCTTGATAATAAGCCCAATGGGGTTTTTGAGCGCATGGCAATAAGGCCAAGCGCTTATTTCAGGGTTCAAAAAAATATAAGACAGAGTCTTATTTTCAGGGAAGCACAGTAGAAGCAGGCAAGAAACTGTAAGGGGAGAAATGGGAAAGGATGAACCCAACCTAACAACTTCTGCTTAATTTTGTAACCTATAAACTGTTGCTCAGTGAATGTTGGGCACTGTTATGAGTTTTTCTTTCTTCTTTGCAAAGTTTTAAACTTTAACTGATCACTCCATTATTTTAAATTAAATCAAAATTTTACAGTTCTATGAAATTTTACCTGGATATGCATATGTATGTATGTATGTATGTATGTATGTATGTATGTATGTATGTATGCATTATATACTGTATACTGTTGCCAGCAGTTTAGACATGAATGGCTGTGTGTTGCGTTATTTTGAGGGGACAGCATATTTACACTGTTATACAACCTGTATACTCACTACTTTACATTGTAGCCAAGTGTCATTTCTTCAGTGTTGTCACATGAAAAAGATATACTTAAATATTTACAAAATGTGTGTGGGGGGGTGTACTCACTTCTGTGATATACTGTACATACATATATATATATATATGAGCTTCACTGTATTTAGTGCAATTTTCAAGGACTTTTGCTTAGGAATGTGCCACAGAATGGTTTAAAACAGGGGTGTCAAACTCAGGGCCCGCAGGCCTTATTCGGCCAGTGAGGTGCTTAGATTTGGCCCATGGGGCCACCCTGGAAAACAAACTAAAAACAAAACAAGAGCGTGCAAGAAGGGACAGGAAAGGAGAAAGGGAAAGAGGAAAGACAGAGAAGGAAAGATGGGAAGAGAGCAAGGAAGGAAAAAGAAGGAAAGTGGGGAAGGAAGAAGAAAGGAGAATGAAGAGGGAAGGAAAGAGAAGAGAAGAGAAGTGAAGAAAAGAGAAGGAAGGAAAGAAGGAAGGAAGGGAAATTATAATAATGAGAGTGAGGGAGGGTCTGAGGGAAGCCCTGCTTTAGCACTTGGCCACCACAGATGCCCCCGACACAAATGATGTTGAGCTGGCCATGCCCACCCCGGTCCCCTGAGGTCAAACACAACCCTGATGCGGCCCTCAATGAAATGGAGTTTGATGCTCCTGGTTTAAAAGAATTCTGTTCCTCTTCTTAGTTTTTTAAAAAAAAAAACAATTTAATAAAATAACCGGTGCATGTTTTATTTTTCCTGAAGAACGCCACTCGAAAAGAGATCGGGAATTCCCAAGAAATAATTGTGCTTTCATATAGTATCGCTGTCTGTCCTGCTGGTGTGGTGCCATTTATATCCAGCTTGCAAGCCAAACACTTAAAACGGGATCCACTTTGGGATATGTGCTTTCTGTATTGATACAGGCAGTCCTCATTTAGCATCTGCCTCATTTAGTGACCATTTGCAGTTCCAACAAAGAAGAAAGAGTAACTTTGCAAACCGTTCCTTTCCTTTACCACCTTCGCAGGTTTATAAAGCAAAGGAAAGTATGAAGTTAAGTCCAGGGGGGTTCACTTAATGACTACTTCACTTAATGACCAAGTGGCCGGTCCCAACGCTGGTTGCTGAAAGAGGACTACTGTGCTTAACAGCCACAGGATATGGAGTTTTGGGTAGAAAACTCCTCTGATTGAAATTAGATGTTCATGGCTTTTGAGAAGCAGAAGAATTCATTGTTTTGCTTGCTTAAATTATTTGGCGGAAAAAATAAAAGTATTTGTAGAGATGGGAAGTCAAAATTAGGTAAATGCACAGAAGTAGAAGGATTATGTGGGTTCACCCTGACATAAACTTTGCTTCCCCTGGGCATCTTAAAATATTAATGCAAAACATGCTCTATGAAACCTGCAGCAGATCCCAGCTTCCCCAGGTTAAAAGACAGAAAAGGAAACATTGATCAAAAAAATCTAGTTCATGGAAGATCTCTTAGGAGAAACAAGTACCGCTTCCAACAGATATTAAGTGTAGCTCTTCAAATCTTTCTGAAGGAAGCAGAAATAAATTTCAAGGACAAGAACACGAGATGCTTTTCCCAGACAATACTTGCAAGCTCTCCGTTTCCATGTGGCATCTGATATTCTATTTATGAATGCTTAACCGGCTGTAAATTGTATAAAACATTACAGAAGCATTTGATGAATCTATAATTTGCCTAACACTCCCCCCACTCTGCGTCATATTTCATCTGGGTAGCGAATTTTAATAGAACCAACCTCATGCAGATTGAAAACATACAAATCAAAATGGCTCTGAATCAAAAAAAAATAAAATAAAATAGGGAGGTTATGGCTGTAACGTATTTGTTCCATCGTTAAAGAAGAAAAAAAGGGGGGCAGGATTAGATTTCTCTAAGTGCATCAGTGGTGGGTTTCAATTTTTTTTACTACTGGTTCTGAAGGTGTGGCTTGGTGGGCATGGCAGGGGAAGGATATTGTAAAATTTCCATTCCCACCCCACTCCAGGAGAAGGTTACTGCAAATACCCATTTCCTCCCGATCAGCTGGGACTTGGGAGGCAGAGAATAGAAGGGGGCGGGGCCAGTCAGAACTTTTACTACCAGTTCTCCGAACTACTCAAAATTCCTACTACCGGTTCTCCAGAACTGGTCAGAACCTGCTGAAACCCACCTCTGAAGTGCATGAATATATACACTCACATATATACCTATATGAGATTAAAATGCGGTGGTAATCACAGGTTTATAAAGCACGTGATTACAAAAATAGGAGGGTAGGGGGTAGGTAAACAGCCATGAAAATAGTTATTTATTTTGGAAGACATCTGTTTTTTCAGTATGGGGTTATTTTTGGATATTGTTCTCTTATTGAAAACATGTTTTGTCTTAGCAGCAAGCGAAGGCGAGATGACAGCCCTGAAAACAGGACGCTGAGTCCTAGGTAACTTTCATCTGAAACCAATTGTTTGATGCACATTCTACCTTTTGAAAATAATGTTCTTTGCATTAAAAAAAAATCCAGCCGAACAGCCCTAGGAGCAATATAGTTTCTGGTTGACTTTTCAGATTGAATATTCTTTGTTGACAGTCAACTGTTTACTGCAGGGGCGTCGAGATTATTAATGGTCAAGGACAATAAAGAAAAGCAGCAGAATATTTAGATTGGAAGCTGCTTTCTCCAGTTTGGAAGCTTCCGGGTATATTGAGATGGCGACTTTTGAATTTTCTAGTCAGGGAAGCATGGGATCTGTAATCCCATCACATCTGAAGAACAGCAGAGAGGTGGAAGCCAAGCTAAATAAATTGCATTATTCCTTTTTTTATTGACACTTGCTATCTATCCTTCCTTCCTTCCTTCCTTCCTTCCTTCCTTCCTTCCTTCTTTCCTTCCTTCCTTCCTTCCTTCCTTTTACTTTATAACATCTTGACTTTTTAAATAGATATTTTAAAAAATCTTGTGATACAGGCATTTCACCAAAAGCATATATATTTAAAGCATACTGCACAAGAAGCAATCCATATTCACACATTATGTTTTGGCCCATTTCTACCAGATTTGTCCTCTAGAGCTGTTCCTGTTAGGTGTGGAAAGGCAATTGTTCTTTTGTTTTCATGATTCTTGATTTTCACAAGAGCCATACTAAAGCCAATTGGGATTAATCCGAACACCATCTTTCTACGAAAACTGGGATATTTTTGCCTTTCAATGGAAACTTTGCCCCCTGCCTGGGCATTGTCAAAAGCTACTCTAGAATTTGCATGGCGAAGTAAGAATGCCAAGCTTGATTTGAAACTGACAAAATGAAACACAGACGGTTCTCGTCTTAAAACGAGTTCATTTAGTGACCAAGTTACACTGAAAAAAAGGGACTTATGACCGTTTTTCACAATAGCGACCGTTGCCGCATCCCCATGGTTATGTGATCAACATTCAAACACTCGGCAACTGTCTTATATTTAAAACAGTTGCCATATCCAGGGGTCATGTGATCTCCTTTTGTGATCTTCGGACAAGCAAAGTCCATGGGGAAGCCAATTTCACCTAACAAACGTGTTACTAACTTAACAATGGCAGCGATTTACTTTAACAACTGTGGCAAGGAAGGTTGCAAAATGGGGGGCAAAACTCACAGCAACTGTCTCGCTTAGCAACAGAAATATTGGGCTCCATTGTGGTTGTATGTCGAGGACTACCTGTACAGTGATAAAGTCCTCCAGTACCGGACAGAAGGATTTTCTTCCCTGGGCAAATATATGCTGCGTAGTAGATGGTTTTGCATAAACTATGACTGACAGGATGTGGTGTGATGAAAGATACAATGGAAGCAGCTTTTCAGATTAGAGCAAATCAATAAAGGAGAATATTTGTAGCTCAGGGTTGAAAAAAGGGGGTCCTTGGTGCTCTCCGAGCTTGGTGGTTTCCCTGCAGGCATTTCATTACCCAACTAGGTAACATCATCAATACAAGAAGAGAGTGAGGTTTCTATTCTATTCTATTCTATTCTATTCTATTCTATTCTATTCTATTGTGGACTGATTATCAGTACAGGATGCTTCAGATTCGAGCAGAGCACCCATTCAGGATGCCCCTCCTTCCCTTATTCACATTTTTTTTCTGGTTGAATGTGCCGTCTTCCTTCAAATATTAACCAAGCAGCATGGAATAATGAAATATGTTTCATTCATGCTACGTATATACAGCATCCATCAGCCTCGTGAGGTGCTGTTACTTAGAAAAGGATAAAGACACTTTCCTGGTTATCCTAGAGAGCAGGAATGGAACTAATAGCTTTAAATGACAGGAGGCTTGCTTTCAACCGAACATTAGGAAAATATGCTGATGACAAAAAGTAATTTTAAAAAGGAACCACATGGTTAAAAGAGGGTGCTTTTGATCTGCAATTGCCTTATCCAAGGGTGCTGAATTAGAGCAATATTTTCCAAAGTTGGCAACTTTAAGGTGTGTGTACACCAACTCCCATAATTCCTCAGCCGGCATGCTTAAGAGGATTCTAGGAACACCACTGGCTGGGGAATTCCGGTAGTTAAAGTTCAGACATGCCTGACTAGGTTACTAGGTGACTAGCTGGTGGTTCAAATCCCTAGTACAGGTCTCCTGTGTGAGCAGGGGGTTGGACTAGATGACCTCCAAGGTCCCTTCCAACTCTGTTACTGTTACTGTTACATCTTAAAGTTGCCAACTCTGAAAGAAACTCAACAAGATGGCGCATAAAGCCCTCTCTCCTTCTCCTTCTATGAAACTTCCATCTTCAACCTTTTTGCATTAACTGGGGATTGGACCAAACAATTTTTTTTTTCAGTATTAAAAGCACATCCAAAACTGTGGATCTCTATATATTGGACTGCCTCTATTGCTGTAAAAATGAGATTGGAGAACTGCTTGTTGATCATACCAGAATGGAGAGAACTCAAAGGAAACTGGCCAAAACATAATGTGGGAAATATCCCTCATAGATCTACTATCCTGTAGGAGAAAAATTATAATTTTGTAATATACAAAACGCCCTGTGTGAACAGTTGAATGATTCCCACCCCGCCACCGGCAGGTGATAATAACACTTTCACAACTAATCCTGTCTTCTGTTACCTTATCTCTTTGTCAATGAGCCACCATTCTGTATCCTGGCACAACAGCCAATTCAGTTGTTGTAATTGTACCGGACACAATTTGGCATCTCTGCTAATCTAACATGCTTCCACAAGGTCAATATGCATCTAGAAGGGTGCCATGCCTTAGGAGCAGGAAGCTTCAAGTCCCATCCAACTTTGCCAGTGTAGCCAAGATCTGTGGGAATTTTTTCCCCCAAATGGATCAGTTCTCAGGGAACCAAGTCAGAATCCTTAGTATCGTTTTGGGGGTTTTTTCCTCGCAAAATTATCATAAGTTTTTAAAACTTAGGCAAATAAACATCGAATTCAAGTGTCTGAAATTTTCAATCAAAGATATGCGAAGTATACTCTGTCTGTCTGTCTGTCTGTCTGTCTGTCTGTCTGTCTGTCTATCTATCTATCTATCTATCTATCTATCTATCTATCTATCTATATCCATCCTTTTGTCTTTAGGCAAAACATAATAGAATAAACTCGCTAAAATATTAAAAGCAGGCCACATAAAAGGATGGAGATTTTATATATATAATATATTATATTATAATATAATATATATATATATATATATATATATATATACAGTATATAATATTCTGCACACAGAAGCATGCGTCTTTTCGAGTGAATTGCATTCTTTTCTGTGGCAAGCATCACGTCTAATACAATCTAAAAAAAATGGATAGCACTGAAAAGAAAGACAAATTGATTATAAAATATCGAAATAATTTCAAATGAAGGCTGGAGAACAACGGACACTGCAATGCCAATATCAGTGTTTCTCAAGAATACGTAAGACATTTCCATGCATTTTTTTAAAAAAAAATATTTTCATTGTTTTCTTTCTTTGCTCATCACACAAAGCCATTCAACGACACAGACCAAATAATTTTGGGATTTTAGTTCCCAGCATGCTTTGGGAGGTTAGAGCATTTGCAAAATATATATTTTTTGCATATATATTTGAACGTTCCTCATCTCAAGAGGGTTTTTTTTAAAAAAAAAAAAAGCAAGAAAAAAGTGCACATTACATCCAAATGCTTAAGAAGAATTAATTAATACACAGATACACAGTACAGAATACAATAGAACATGCTGTCTTAAATGATTAATTCAGAAGATCCAGAATAAGACACAGTCAACTCATGAGGCATTTTGTGTGTGTGTGTGTATGTGTGCAAAATTCTGAAAAATCATGGACTGGGCTGGAGGGAGCTCCTTTTTAAAAAAAAATAAAAAAAAATAAAATTGAAAATGCAGGGATAATTTAAACTTGAATATGTCAAGTCAATGATGGAATCAAAGTTTGCTGTCTCTAGCAATTCGTTTCATGTGGGCCTAATGTGAATGTTTACTAGCCCCTTGGAATAAGGGGATACTTCTAAACAGATAGGAAAGAATATATATATACATATATATATATATGCCTTTTTGGCTGTACTTGGCCAATTCGAGTTTAGGCTTGGCAGCCTCGCAAAGGCCAGCTTTGTTATTAGTTTTTTTTTTTTAAATCAAAAATTATTCTCGGGTAAATCAGCACCCTAAATGCCAGACAGCAAAATGACATGTCAACAAACTTTTTTTTTTAAAAAAAATCTGAATGCCACTAAAAGGAGGGCACAACAACAGAGTGATCTGTTCTCAGATCATTAAGAGAAGCAAATGTCCCAGAAACAAAAGAGTTGGGAGGTGGGGAGAGAGATGTAAGGGGGGAAATGGGGCTTAGTGAACTTGGAAGGTTTGCCTAGGACTGTCATACATCTGATCTTCTCCAAGAGAGCACAGCTTTACATTCTCAGTCATATGCACAAAAGAAACAATGAAAGGGCATATGATACAGTACCTCCATGGTCTGGGACTGGTGCATAGCTTTGATTGCATTCTGTGCCATTGCCCTTGTCGAAAACGTGACAAACGCACAGCCTGTGGGAACAGGGGGCAGGGAGCAGGAAAGACAAAAAAAGAAAAAAAAGAAAAAAAGAAAAAAAGAAAGAACAAAAGAAAAGAAAAGAAAAGAACAACAAAGACAAAAAGGGTTGGACGCTTGTTAAACCAACACAGTCTACGAGAACGGCCACAAGACGACACTGTTCTCTGTAGTACATAAATTAAAAAAAGAAAAGAAAAGAAAAACAAACAAAAAAAATAAAAAAGTGAAAATAAAAAACAAAAACAAAAATAACCCAATTCCCTAACTGATTTGCTTCAGCAGAGCTGAGTTGATCATCGGGAGGGAGAAGGAAAGGAAAATTGGGGGAGGGGAGGGAGGGAGAGGGAAGGCTGAGACTCAGTGGGAAAATGACCACAATATGGCTATTTTCCTCATTCTTCAAAAGCAGCGTTTCTCAACCTTGGGACCTTTAAGAGCGGCGGACTTCAACTCCCAGATTTCCCCAGTCAGCATGCTGGCTGTGGAATTCTGGAAGTTGAAGTCCACTCATCTTAAATGTTCCCAGAATTGAGAAAATGCTGCTCTAAAGAACAGGATTGGAAATAGGCAAGACTGCTTATATTTTAATTTCCATTTAACAGAGTCCCTTAAAGATCCTCATAACTTATGTCTAAGCATTCAAACTTGTTTATTTAAAATCACAGTAAAACTTCATTAGCAACCACCGCCATTAGTGATTGAATTAAACCAAATTAAGTCTCTTTGGTCATTGACATAGCAATACCTACAATAGAAATAAGACTGGAAATCAAACTGTATGCTTAGAGGAACCTGGGCTTGTATATCAATCCTGATGGGTCTTAAAATTGACTTTAGATCGTTCTGAATAAACTCAGCTAACCGAACACATGAGCGACTTGTTCTATTTCATTGTATAATGTGAGAATAAGGCTTCGTTCCGCCACCAAAATGTGTCAAATCCGTGAAGCAACCACAGTTCAGAGATCTTGGGTTTTCAGAGAGGGGGTTACACAACCTTTTAAATCATAGTTTTCCAACCTTGGCAACTTTAAGACACATGGACTTCAACTCCCAGAATTCCTCAGTCAACATAGCTAGCTGGGGAATTCTGGGAGTTGAAATTCACATGACTTAAAGAACTTTAGCAAATTTGGGAAACCCTGTCTTAAATGGTTAGGTTGGTGTTGTGATTCAAGCTCTGCATTACATCTCACCCACCATCTTGCAGATTGACAAATCCCCCCTCCCTTCTGGGTGGCACTATTTGAAACCCAAATACCCATGATTCAGGGTCTTTAATGATGATTTATTCTGATTCTTATGTTCAGGTTTAAGCTTCTAACCTCCGATACTTCCTTTGGTGCTTAAGTTTAGGCAAATAAGTCTGCTTTCTCCACCTAACTAAATTGAGACACCAATTAGGTCTTCTTCTTTGAGGTTCTGCAGTCTCTTCCTATCTCCAGATTTCAGGTGAGGTCGTGGGGAAGGGCAGAATTTAGGAGAAAGGTTTATGGTTGGTGACTTAACGTACTCCTTATTTTAATTGAAGGTGACATTGGAGAAGTTTGACAGGAGACTGTTGGGCAGTCCTGATGTTCTAAACACTTCATGTTTAGAACTCCTAAAGTTCTATGAGAAGATCATTATCTGGTAACCTGGAGTGGAGACCAGATCAATGACATTCTTTCTTGAAAGCAACATTGTAAAAGCCATCCTTCCTTGGGGCTCGGGCATTTTGGGGAAGTTAGTAACTACTATAATCTTTCCATCCATTGGTGTCTTCTGCCAATGGATGACCATCTCCATCATTTTGCAATCACTAGGAGAACATTTTACTCATCTTTTTTTTTTTTGGAAATATAAGGCGCTTTTGCGGAAACGGTCTCATGTCAACATTTTATGCATCTACGCAACTTATCAGTTTTGTGCGTTGTAACAAAGCTTCCCTTTTATCTGTGGAGCGAACACTAAATTCAATCTTCTCTACAAGTCAAATAATTGCCTCAAGGATTCTCTACAGATTGCAGTTCTTAGCTGATTTGGGCTGATCTCAAAAAAACAAAACAAAACCCCAAAGCAGAATTGTACCTAATCGTATTTTTCCCAAAATAAGATAGGGTCTTATATTAATTTTTGCTCCAAAAGACACATTATGGCTTATTTTCTGGTTAGGTCTTATTTTGGGGGAAATACAGTACTAAATGCCTCTGTCTGCTGACGATCTTAACTGGGGCTTATTTTTGGGGTAGGGTTTATATTACGAGCATCCTGAAAAATCATGCTAGGGCTTATTTTCCGGTGAGTTCTTTTGGAAAAATGCAATGGTAAAGGTATTGTAGCCGAAGAAAATTATATGGACATGTCCATATTATCAACAGGGATTAAGTTCAGTGAGGATGTCTTTTATTCTTCTGTAAGTTAAGCATCACTTTCACAACTGATTCTTCACTGACATCCTATTTGTGCAGGAGGGAAGACTGATGGGAGCCCAACTCATATCAATCTTCTTCCTTGGCTTGGCTTGGTGGGATGATACAAAAGTGAACGTGCATTTATTACTGGTCCTAACCCCGGTGGGTTTAATTTGATGTTGGCTATTTTGGATTACTGTGTCATTTCCAGAGATGGGCAGTTTAAATAAGCATGAGAGGTAAGATCTGCAGATACAGATAGTCCTCGATTTACAAACATTCGTTTAGTGACCGTTTGAAGTTACAACGGCACTGGAAAAAGTGCCTTAGGACCATTTTTCATACTTACAACCACTGCAGCCTCCCCATGGTCACATGATCAAAATTTAGACACTGGCCAACTGATTCATATTTATGACAGTTGCAGCGTCCCAGGGTCATGTGATTCACCTTTTGCGACCTTCCAACGAGCAAAGTCAATGGGGAAGCCAGATTCACTTAACAATCTTGTTACTAACTTAACAGCTGCTGTGATTCAATTAACAATTGTGGCAAGAATGGTTGTAAAATGGGTCAAAATTCACTTAAATGTCTCAATTTTGGCTCAGTTGTAAATCGAGGCCATCTGTACTGGCAATCCTCCTCAACGTGAGAGCTGGAAATGGGATTTGCGAGGCCAAAATACACCAGTACAGATTGGAGAAGGGCAAACTGCATTGAACCCTGGAATATTTTAGAAACAAGAAGAAAAGTTGGCCTCTCAAATGCCTTCCAAGAATCTATACGAACCCTAGTTTGAAAGACTACATCATTTTCGACTATGCTAGAAAAGGCAACGGCTGGGTTCCTTATCTGGTGCCTTCAATCTGCATTGGACTACAGACTTCATCATCCTCAATCAGCATGGTCAATGAATAGGGATGCTGGGAATTTGGCTTAAAAACATAAGGAAGACCTTACGTTGTCTGACAGAGTTTGATGGGAAGCGAGTGAGTTTGTAGCCTTTATATCAAAATGGTGGGATTTAGCAACACTGCTGTACGCATTGCTTTTAACATTGCTTTCTTTTTCTTTTTTAATTACCCTTTGAAATTGACATTTCCCAGAGTGCCTTGCAAGAAAAGGGCTGTGAAATAATGCAAATCCAAGTTGATTTCATAGCAGTGCTGAGATGCATTGAAAGCTTTGCTTAATACAACAAATTTGGCTTGGGATGCAATGCTGAAAAGACCTTGATTTCTAAGCCTTTTAGCCTAGTATTTAAAATATGGGCTTCCAAACTAAAAAAAAAATATATTAAGAAATGAAATAGCAGCCCAGCTCCCTCAATTACCTCCAAAAATGGTGATGATGATGATGATGATGATGATGATGACTGTTACAATTTTAAAAGGCTTCTAAACAAAGGAAGCTGAATGCAGAGAGACTGAAGCACAGTATTGTCACAGAACTGAGCAAGAAACTTAAAACAAGCTCAGAGTGGGCTTTTTTCTTTCTTTTTTTAAAAATTGGTATCACTGCCCCTGGGATCAGTGAGCCAAATGAAGAATCCATTTTACAGTCCAGCTATTTTAGGGGAATCAATTTGAACACTGACAATACCACTGGCTTCCTTTTGGCCTTCCTCCATGTATACCTGGTAAGAATACCAAGTTGGGAAAAAAAGAAGAAGTCAATAAGATTTTAATTGAACAAGAGGCAGTCCAGGCAATAATAACTGAAGTGCTTTGCAAGTCATGTTTTTGCAAATCAGCTTCAAGAGCTATGCTTTCTCTTCCATAAAGAGGAATGAATGAATCCTCTTATGTTCCCCTTATTTGAAGGGCAGAACCAGAAGATTATCATTTAGTATGTATTTGTTTAGCATTAAGTAGGATTAATGTTGGTACAGAACAATGTTTCTTAATCTTGACCATTTTAAGATGTGTGGACTTCACCTCCCAAAGCTCCCCAGCTGCACCAGGATGGCTGGGGAATTCTGGGAGTTGAAGTCCTTCTTCTCCTTCTTCTTGTGCCATATCCGTCAACGGACATTGGCGATCCTGTTGGCAATCCTATTTTTTTTCAAGAGCCGCACCAAAAAATTGAAGTCCACACATCTTACAAATTGTCAAGATTGAGAAACCCTGACATAGATTGAGAATTAAGGCTCAGCCATTTCAGCATTGTGTTCCAAAGGATGCCCGCTGAGTCTAATCCTTACTTCATTATTTCTTGGTTAGGTTACTTCTCATTCAGGGTTGGCAATGCCATTTCAATTTGCATTTCTCCTTCTGGTTAAGGGGTGTGGGGGGAGAGGGTTCCATTTCCCCTGACATTTCTGTCAGCAGAAAAGGTATTATTTGCCTAAAGCTATCTAGTGGGAAAAAGTTGGATTTTTAAAAAAACACTTTAAAAATGGCGGAGTGCATTCTTAAAGCTAAACTACAGAAAGGCAGTAGATGACATTTCCTATATGTCATTCATATAATGAAGATATTTGTAGGACGTTGATTGGGCCCTTTTTGAAGACGTCTTTCAAGCAAGAAGGTTGACTTTATTATCTCCAATCAATGCACAATTTACACAAGCTGTTATGTGTCTCACACATGGCTTGCTGGTTAGCATGATTTAAGGGGGCCAATTTTTTTTTTAGTAAAAATTTATGTTTATTTTATTTTGCATTTTAAGTTCTAGGTATGGCAGTAGTTCTCAACCTGTGGTCCTTGGACCCTGAGAAGGGGGCCATATCATCACAAGGGTTCTGCAAAGACTTGAAGAAATGTGATGATTTAAATCTTAACTCTTGGGGGACCCTGACCATGGCCTGTGGCCACAAAAGGTATTTAAAGGGGGTCTTTGATGGAAAGAAAGCTTGAGAATTACTGTTCTAGAGCAGGGGTCTCCAACCTTGGCAACTTTACGACTTGTGGACTTCAATTCCTAAAATTCTGGGAGTTGAAGTCCACAAGTCTTAAAGTTGCCAAGATTGGAGACCCCTGTTCTAGGGTTTGTGTCAAGGTGTTTTATTCCATGTCTCTTATTATTATTATTTTTTTTCAAGTTCTGCATGTGATTTTTGGATTAGAATAAATTAAGCGGAGGGGTTTTCTTTTCTTTTTTTTAAAAAAAATTGTCAATAAAAAGCAGGAGATTTTTTGAGACCGGCTCCTGTTTTTGTAAAGGCAATTTGTTCTTCCTCTCTCGCCTCAGATGGAGAAGGTAGCTGTGTCTGCCTAAACTCAAATCCATACCCCATTAGTTCATTAAAACGTCTATCGGTGCATATTGCGTCAACTAGAACCTCTGTGATATTTCACAGAGAAATCGATTCGCTTCCAAAACTTCGTGTTGTGGCTTGGCGCTATTGTCAATTTTGAAAACCCAAATTGTTTACCAAGGGATGCTGATGGCTCACGGGGGAGGGTGGGGGAACGGGACCTGTTGATGACTGAACAATGTAGACACCTGACAAGTTTCTCCTGTCATCATTTCCGACACATTTAATACATTACTCAAAGCAGAACAACAACTTTATATAATTTACGCTAGACAAATAGGTGCATGAGTAAAATGGTAAATGGTCTACAGTACCTCGGCTAGACTCCGTATTGAAGCTGTGCACTAAAATTAAAGAGGTCCAAATTTACCATCAGTCTCGACATCATCTCTCTTTAAAAACATTACTCATTATAAAGCAGAGAAACAAGGGTTACCCATAGTTCATTCTCATATCTGCGTTAAAGCTGGACATTCTCATCTTGTACAAATAAATGCTTGGGGTTATTGGCACCTGTTTCCCTCTTTCGCTCCACCGTCCCATCTTCACTATTCCCGTTCAGATGGATTGCTGCTGTTTTTTTTGGCGTCTGGTTTCCCCGCTTCCATAACCCTGCTTTGGAACTTTCTGAAGGACAAGTGAACTTCCTGCCCGATATGATATAGGCCAACGATTCTCAACCTTGGCAACTTTAAGATGAGTGGACTTCAATTCCCAGAATTCCCCAGCCAAAGCAAAGCTGGCTGGGGAATTCTGGGAGTTTGAAATCCACCCATCTTAAAGTTGTCAAAGTTGAGAATCACTGATGTAGGCAATACAGGAATAATTAACATGGGGGTATTACTTAATTACAGGGAACACGTGGCATGTGTTGAAAGCAGAAATTCTGTGTGTGTGTGTGTGTGTGTGTGTGTGAATGAGAGAGACAGAGAGAGCGAAACGGGTTCACATGGCTACAATTAGCATTTTCCCCAGGAAAAGCTTTCAGCAAAGAAACTCCAAACGTGGATATAATTTAGCAGATAAGGAAGTTAATTAGTTTCAGCTAATGTCAAGGGAATAATTAGCTCTTGATACCCAGATCACAATATGTCTAAGGGTCGGGATTTATGCATCAGTAGCCATATGGAAGAGACTTGCAGTCCTTGTACTAATTTCCTACACAGTACCCATAAATGGAGACAGGAACATATGGCAGAAGAAATTGCTATCATTCCGTAATAAAGGAACTTACTCTCGGCAGACATTCCTGCTTAAAAAAAAAAAATATGTGGATTCCATATAGAAGTAGTCCTCGACTTACAACAGTTCATTTAGTGACCGTTCAAAGTTACAACGGTACTGGATAAAGTGCCTTATGACCGTTTTTCACACTTACGGCCATTGCTGCATCCCCATGGCCATGTGATCAAAATTCAGATGCTTGGCAACCGACTCATATTTATGACGGTTGCAGTGTCCCTGGGTGATGTGATCTCCTTTTGCGACCTTCGGACAAGCAAAGCCAATGGGGAAGCCAGATTCACTTAACAACCGTGTTACTAACTTAACAGCTGCAGTGTTTCACTTAACAACTGTGCAAGAAAGGTGGTAAAAAGGGGCAAAATTCACTTAACAACTGTCTCCCTTGGCAACATAAATTTTGGGGTCAATTGTGGTCATAATTCGAGGACTACCTCTATACATTAATATATTTTAGCAATATCTTGATACCTACTTGTGGCCATAAACTACCATCAATAACAGCAACCAAGGATATGGGTTAGGGTGAGGAAATGTTACAGGTATGTCTAAATAAACTTTGTAGGAAGGGAGTAGGAGAACTTGAAATGGGGCTGTTATTCCCTCTGTCTAAAATCTTCTTTTCTGTTCTTTTCCCCTTGAAGTTTTTAAGAGGGAATTAATTGCGCACCGCAATTTGGCCATCACTCAACACAGGCATGAAGCTGTGAGCAGTGTACAGAATGACAAAGAGAAATCAATAAGGAACATTTTATGCATTTACCACAATTTCAACCCGGTGCCAAGAGATGCTAGGCTTAGCAGATCTCACAAGAACAAACGAACGAATGAAGCATCCTTCTATATCTGTCAAGTTAAATGCAATTATTGCCATCTTTCAACAGCCTCATGAAAAGGGACAATATGTAGGACAGAGAAAACTTTGATGGCGATTGTATAATTGAACTCCAGTAGCAAAGCCAATAGGCTATGGTTTGAGGAACATGAGTGGCAGATCTCTCTGAATTTCTTAGCTGGTCATTGTAGGACTAAATAATTGAGTTTCAAAATGATTCAGAAGAAGTACTTTGGACCTTAAATTCATTAAAGCAGGCAAGTTCCCTCAGAAGGCACCTTACGAAAGATCAGAAGAACTTCTTCTGAAACAGTTTGAAGCAGGCTCCACCTTATTATGCAAGACTTGGACAAATCCAATAGATTCTTTCTGACCTTCTAAGTGTAAAAAACAAGCTTGTCTATCGATAAAGGAGAATATTTGTAGCTCAGGGTTGAAATGCGGGATCCTTGGTGCTCTCTGAGCTTGGATTGTTTTCTTGCAGACCTTTCATTACCCAAACTAGGTAACATCATCAGAGCGCGATGGTGCCTGCGCGGCTTGCATTGGTTGCCAGTTGCCCTCCAGGTGAGGTTCAAGGTGCTGGTAATGACCTATAAAGCTCTACATGGCTTAGGCCCAGGATACTTGGTGGACCATCTGCAACCAGCAACAGCTTCCCATCGCCCGGTGCGTTCTCACAGGGAGGGCCTGCTCCGGGTACCATCAGCTAGACAATGTCAGCTGGCGGCCCCCAGGAGTAGAGCTTTCTCTGTGGGCACGCCCACCCTTTGGAATCAACTCCCCCTGGGGCTCCGGCTGGCTCCTGACCTCCGCCGCGAATTAAAAACATGGCTGTTCGTGGCGCCTAGCCTGGACTGAGGGGTTTTTTGATTATTTTAACGGGTTTTAATATTTGTTTATGTATGTATTTTATGTTTTTATTGGTTTGTTTTAATTGTTGTGAGCCGCCCTGAGTCCTATGGAGATAGGGCGGCATATAAGCTATATTAAATAAATAAAATAAATAAATAAATAGAATGCATTCCTGCAGGCTACTACTGCTGACTGCAATTTGGCAGTTCAAATCTGACCAGGCACAAGGTTGACTCAGCTTTCCATCCTTCCGAGGTCAGTAAAATGAGGACCCAGATTGTTGGGGGAAATATGCTGACTCTGTAAACCGCTTAGAGAGGGCTGTAAAGCACCGTAAAGCGGCATATAAGTCTAAGTGCTATTGCTATTGTGTTAAAGAAAATCAGAAGGCTGAAGGCAGGGAATACAGGTAGTCCTTGACTTACAACATTCACTTAGTGACCATTCAAAGTTGTAAGTCTAACTGCTATTGCTATCATGAGTACTCAGCAAACTTAGCTTGGTAATGAAAGTTCTGCAAGAAAACAACCAATCTCAGAGAGTACTAAGGACCGAGGTTTGGCAAGAAAAATCTAAATTTTATGTAGAGCTTTTTTAGAGCTGGCAAGAAACTAAAAACTGGCAATAGAAATAACTGCAACAAAAAATATACCGGAGCTAAGCAATGGAGGTAGCCAAGAACTAGCCTGTTTCCCCTAAAATAAGACCTCCCCAGATAATAAGCCCAATCGGGCTTTTGAGAGCATGCGCTAAAATAAGCCACTCCTGAAAATAAGCCCTCCCCGAAAATATTAAAACGCATGCACAGCCAGTCCCCGCCATTTCCTCTGGTTAGGGTTAGGGAGATAGAGCTGGAAATCAGGTAAGACAGCAAGAGGAGCCCCGTCTTGCTCCATGTGCCCCAAAATAATAAGATCTTCTCGAAAATAAGGCCAAGTGCTTATTTGGGGGTTCAAAAAAAACATAAAACAGGGTCTTATTTTCGGGGAAACACGGTAGCTGGATGTGTAGAGGCAAACAACTGGATTTAGACTTTTGGCTCTAATTTCCATTTTTTTTTTATTAAGGGCTACCTAGCCTACCATTTTGAAAACGAAGAAATGTTTTGGAGCTTTGATGAACTGAACATCTCCCTCAGGGCATCCATGGGGAAGGAATGTAAAAAAAAAAAGAAATTCAAGATGGTGACTACGGCCAGGTATTTGATGTTCTGCCCTTTTGGCGCAAGGCATGGCTGCAGCTGTGATATTGATTGAATCTCTAGCCCTGCCGATGCCTTGGGAGTTGCTATCCGTTCATGCAGCACAATATTTTTTTTTTCCGGAGTTTTGTATTCAGTCTGAAAAATGCTGCAATAGCTTTCAGCAATCCAGTTTTTTTTCCCCCCCCCCCCCCCGACTGATGCAGTCTGAAAAGAAAGTTCAGGTTTCTTAAATGTCTTGCAGAGAAGCGCTGTACTCGTGCAAGATCCAAAGCATTTTTTCCAAATCGGTTTGAAGCACGCATAATATTAAGAGTTGATTAACCTGGCAGTGGTTAAAAATTAGATGATTCAATGATAAAACTGGAGTCCAAGCAGGGCTGCTGTTATTATACCTTGAGGGAAACAATGGCAATTTAAACACGTCTGCCCAGAGAACTTTCATTGAGGGACAGCTTAAAAAACCAATCATATATATCTTGGATATGTGGGAGAACATACCTCAAAGTGGCATCTGAATGGGCAGTTTCCAGGCTGTGTGTATGGTTATTCGGGTTTTCTCCTGCATAAAATTGGAAGTGTCTTGGCGACGTTTTGACGAAGTCCAATCCAATCAGAGCACAGCCAAGCCCCCAACCAATCAGAACACACCTCCACCAATCAGAACACAGCCAAGCTCCCACCCAATCAGCTCCCACCCCCACTGGCAGTTAAAAGGAAGAAACAGCTGCGATCACACATTGCTCCTAGAAGCACGAAGCTGAAAACACCAGCCTGAAGATGACGAATGAGACTTCGTCGAAACGTCGCCAGGACACTTCCAATTTTACGCGGGAGAAAACCCGAATAACCAAAGACCTACATATATATCTTTAGCCAGGTTCTTCCTATGTAAACCAAGATTTTTATGCAACCCAATCTTGGTTTACGTAGGAAGAACCTGGCTAAAGAGAAATACACATAAAGCCTATGAAAAGGAAAGAAAACAAATATATATACTGTGTGTGTATACACACACACACACACATTTTACATCAGCCTTCCCCAACATGATGCTGGGTGCTTATCTGGTGAAGGACACCAGCTTAAAAAAAAATCTGCAGAATGTGAAAAGTGGCATTGATAGGTTTGTGGTGCATTTTTTTCCTTTTTTCACAACCCCGTAATCCTTAGATTCAGGGTGGAGTCGGGGCGACTGAATGGAGCTGAGC